GGGAGAGAGGGAGGGGAAAGTGAGGGAGGGAGGGAAGGGAGAGAAAGAGAGAGAGAGAGAGAGAGAGAGAGAGAGAGAAAGGAAGAAAAGCTGAGTAGATATCACCCTCCCAGAAGCCAGCCAACAGACTAACTAGTGGCTGATGCCCTGCAGGTGCCAAGGACAAGCAGCACCACACTGGGATCCTGTGGCCTCTGACACAGGCCACAGGCTCTCAAAGGGCCAGGGCCAGGCCACAAATGCCCAGCCTGGCACCTGGTGAGCAGCGGGAACCTGTAACAGGCACCCACAAAGACAGCAGGCTCACATTCCCCAGGGCACTCCTGGAGCCTTATCCGGACACAGTGTCCTCGCCAATAGCTGGGCAGCTAAAGAAAAACACCCCAGTGACCACACACATAAAGCAGACCTCACAGAAATTCCATCTCCAGCTGCCTGTGACACGCCACAGCAAGGTCACAACTGGCCAGACCTGCAGGGGACACTGAATCCCCAGAGGCTCACGTGACCCCTTATCACCATCTCCTTTATAATATATTAAGGGACGAGCAAGAGAGACGAATGCCCTCAATGCCAACCAGCAAGGACAGAGTGGTACTGCCAGGGACACAGGAAAAGGCACACCTGCATCGTCCCCTGGGTCAAGTCTCAGAGGCCCCATGTGGCTGGGAGAGCGGGAGGGAGACACAGTCACTCCGAACATCTGAGATCTCCTTGCGCCCTATCCTGCACCCTCCCAGCTTCCTTCCCAGGTGGCAAGGGACCACTGAGACAACAGTAGGCCCCTTAGGGACAGGGAACACAGAGTGTCCTTCATTTGACCCAGGAAGGCTGAGACACATGGGGACAATAGCCAGAGATCCTTATCCTACATAAGCAAGGGAGGCCTGGGCTACCACAAAGTTGCAGCCTCTGGTGGACTGGGGCCCGAGCAGGCCATGGATGATGTCGAGTTAAGACAGACCTCATCCGAGCCCTTCCTTGGCTGAGTGATCTGGGCAGGTGATTTTGCTAGGCTGGGCCCTGTATTGCCTCATCTCTAAGGTGGGTATTCTCATTCTTGCCTCGGAGGAATGTTCAGGGTTCTCTCTGCATACCCGACACATACGAGATAGAGCGGTCCACTGAGGTCGGCCTGCAAGCTGATGCATGGTGAATGACAGGCATGGAACACTGCCATGCTCACATCCTCAAAGATCCTGGCCAATCACAGGCTCAGACTGTAGCCCACCCCCATCCCCCAGCTCCTCCAGATCATCTCCAGTGCTCAGGCACTCCAAGGGGGTCGCCAGCCCAGCCCCTTGGTTTCTTTAAGTTCCTATGGGAAGACAGAAGAAAATTTTCCCATTGCCATATAAGGCTGGGCCTGGCTGGCCTGGGGTCACCTACCATGCCATCAGGGCGTGGGGAATGCCAGCTATGTGGAGGGAGTAGGAGGCACTTGCCTGGTCCAGCTTGCTCCAGTAATGCTGACATATACACACACAGTGTGGAAGGGGGCTGGGTGTCCACAGAAGGGGTCACTGAAGCACGGAGCTGAAGCAAATATATGCATATAAGCAGTCTGAGTCCCACTGTGGCTGGTTTTTCATTTGTTTGTTTTGTTTTGACACAGGGTCTCCCTCTGTGACCCAGGCTGGCCTGGCACTTAAGCCTCCTTCCTGCTCCTCCCTACTTTGATGACAGGCACACATCACCACCGCTGGCTAAATTGTGGCTGATTCATCTTAGGCAATTAACTCAACTTCTCTGAGCCTGGTAGGCATAAAATGGGAACATCAGGGCCAACACTGCACAGTTAGAGGGTATTCCGCTGCCTGCTGCAGTGCCAGCACACCCCAAGGAGCCAGGAAAATGGTCGTAGAAATCAAAACGGGGGTCTTGAGATGGTTCAGTGTGTTAAGTTGCTTGTTGCTAAGCCTAATGACCCAAGTTCAGACCCTGGGACCCACGTGGTAGAACGGGAAAACTGACTCCTGCAAGTTGTCCTTTAGCCCTCAGACACAGCCTGTGGTGTGCACGCTACACACACACATACACTCAGCCTGTGGCGTGTACGCTGCACACACTTA